GGGGTTCCCCGCCAAAAAACGTAGCACCATCAGATTCCACATGTCATAAAACCCCTGTGTACTAAATTTAGTGATTCTCGTACAACAGGGTTCTGAGATATAAAAAAAAGATTATTCTTAGGGGCGGACTTCAGGGGGCTGTAACTCCGAAAGAGGGGGCCACTTGGCAAAAATAAAAAATACGGGTCCCCTAAATTTGTCTTAAGAAACTGTAACCAAATTTTGTTGTATGAATTTCCGGACACCCTGTATATAGCAATATAAACAATTTATCATTTTAGTGCGGGATTGCCAAGTTATGAAGAAAATTCTTAGAATTTTGGAAAAAAACATGACCTCGAATAAGTTGAATTAACTTTGAGCTACTTGGAACAAAATAATTATACAGAGTTATAGGCGAATGTTAGGTAAAGACTCCTATATTAGCTAATATCGATATTTTATACAGGGCATTTTTTATAATACGATCATTTTCAGAAAGTTCAAACATAATTTTCTAAAATTTTTCAAATGGAACACCCTTTATTTTATTGTTCTATTTTATTCACATATCAGTCCACTTCAACTTTTATTAAGTATGTTCTACACCTAAAGTTGTTAGTTTTTAAGATATGCAACATTTTTGGAAAACCTAAATTATTATTTTTTCCGTTCGCACGAAATAGCTTTGGAAAAAACTGGCACATTGTGTCAACTTGTCAGTTCATAATTTATCATTCCATTTTGAGTTAACTTTATTAGTTAATATTTATATGTGGTATTCTATAAAATAATAAGAATTAAGTTTTTAAAACATGCTTAATAAAAGTTGAAGTGGGCTTATATGTGAATAAAATAGAATAATAAAATACAGGGTGTTCCATTTGAAGTTTTAGAAAATCAAGTTTAAACTTTCTAAAAATGATCGTATTATAAAAAATGCCTTGTATAAAATATCGATATTAACTAAATATAGGAAGTCTTTGCCCTAACATTTGCCAATAACTCTGTCAAATATTTTTGCTCCAAGTGATCGTAGTTAAAAGTTAATACAACTTGTTCAAGGTCATGTTTTTTCCAAAATTCGAAGAATTTTCTACATAACTTGGTCACCCCGCACTGAAATGATAAACTATTTATATTGCCAAATATAGAATTTTCTCGGAGATCGATATGTTTAAAAATATACAGGATGTTCCATTTAAAAAATGTAATATTTGGCGTCTCCCGTTTTTACTCATCACCCTGTATATATCAAATTAATTTTGTAGTTTAGGCTTCTTGATTCTGTATAACATTTATATAAACTTTTTTTCTGTATTATGAGTAACAAGAGATTTTACTTCCTCACACTAATGGCCCACCCTCTATAAGTAATTGTATTTATGATAAAAAATTCTGTTATGTACATAAAAACAATTGCTATTCAAATACACTGACCGAATTTCCGGAAAATTTAAAATTCAATATTGTCAAAATGATTTTTAGAGACAATAATTTCCAGTAATTCCGGTCCTTGTAAACATCATTAATTGTATACAATTCACTGAATTTTTACCTGTACTTTGTTAAATATTTAGCCTAAATTTCATGAAAAATATCTTCATGCGTAAATGTTACATTTTTCAAAAAGTCGTTTAGGAAACGCGTGTATTTCTTTTTCTCATTTTTAGTCACAGAATCACTCGTTTCATCCTTTCAATTAAATTTTAAAATAACTTGTATAAATAGGTATATGCCTTTCTCTCCAGTTTTTAGAAGATGTGATTGGTCACTAATCACACTTTATAAATTTCCACAGAGGGTACGAAATGAAAAAAAAAAAAGTTTTTTTACAAAAGAAAGGTGTCCATGTTGGACTTCAAATATGATATACACTTTCAGTGTGTAATTTATTTTAACAGTTCTATCAAACCACAAAAATGTAAAAGTCCCCAAATATTATGTTGTAGTTCTATTGCCAAATTAAAAAGAATAAAAAACCGTTTCAGTAAAAACAGGTCTGAAAATGCTTCATAAAAATGCTATAGGACCTTCAGTGTGTGCCCCTGAAAGGGATAAGGCTAATTATGAAACACTGTACATAACTTTAATTCTGGGTATAAGCGCATTTTTTCTATTTGTAGAGTAGTAATATTTTAATCTCCAAAAGTTAAGTAGTTTAGCCGTATGTTGCTTAACCTTGTATTTCAACTAGCCTTTTAATTTATAAAGATTAACTGCAATGTGATCCAAAGATTTTTTTTTAGTAACCCAAACATTGAACGTTCTGAACAAACTAAGTTTTAATTGTTATTTGTAATTAGCAACTCATATATTTAGAAATAAATATCTTACTTGTGGTTAATGGCGTCTGCAGCAAGTACGCTACTGAAGCTGAACCGGCGCTCTGCCCAAAAACCGTAATACTCTCAGAATTTCCTCCAAAGTGCCCTATGTTGTCTTTCACCCACTGCAAAGCCAAGATTTGATCCTTCAAACCATAATTTCCAGGAGATGCCGAATCTTCTGTGCTTAGAAAGCCTACATAAAAGAATTAATTATAATCGAAAATTGCCTCATTAAATTAATATATGTATTTTTTAATCATCTTAAGTTGCTTTTTTAAATGGTTAGATGTTTTCCAAGCAAATTTCAAGGTTTCAAAATATGTTCTGAAAAGATTCGCGTACATATCTCCGAAACGTTGTCTTTAAATCTGCGAATAAGCCCAGAAATCATCCACTCACTCGTTTGTCAACAACAGTTAACTAAGGTAATCTTTACAATTTGGTGATTGGCAAAGTTTTTTTAACAATTAGTCTAATCTATCAAGAATTTTTCATCATACCAAAAACTCCCACTCGGTAATTAAATGTAACAATTATAATGTGTTCTTCCAAAAAATAGTCTGGTGAATATTTTTTAATTTTGGAGCTGCCTTTATTGAATGCCCCTCCGTATATCCACACCATAACAGGTATATTCGATCCATTAATCTGTAATAAGAGATCAATAACTTCTTTAGGTTTGTGATATTTTTATGAAACAATTTTTTATTTTTTGAGATATTTGATAGGCCAACTATAATTATTTTTATACAGGGTGTTCGAAAATAAGGAACCTTAATTCAAGGATAGTTTCATTGTGTGAAAATAAACCAATTTATATCAAGTTGCTTCTCTAAGAAGTTACGAGTCTCCAAAGGAATTTTTGTTTATTTCATTTTTATAAAAGGAATTTTTTAGAGTAGCCGAATTCGACTACGATTTTATTTTTTACCTAAATCATGGAGGTTGCTAAGATCACCCGAAAAAGTCTTTTGTTTTCATGCTATATATTTTATGTTGGTAGAGATTTTTGCATGTCGTTAAAATGCACCATTCCAGAAAAAAAAATTTTAATTTTCATTTTAATTTCAATTTTTTCATTGGTGATCAGTTGCGGACTACTCATTTTTTCTAAATTTGGAACTGATTTTAGTAGCAGTATTTTTTTACGATTTGGACCAATTTACCCTATTCAAATGTCAACACCTACTGGAATAATATAGCTCTGTATATATATATAAATTTAATTTTGCCATGTTACATCCAAAAGTTATCTCAGTTGACACTGACGTTTTCATATGATGCGTTGGTTTAAATAGAAAAAATATGCAGGGTGTCCGGTAAATAATGAATAACCTTTTAACCGTGGATGAGGAACCTAAGGTCGTTCAGAAAATCGACTTTTGTCTTGGTACAAAGTCTCTTCGTTTTTCAGTTATCTTGGTTTTTTTCGAAATTTTCGCCATAGGTTACTTTATTGGTCACTACGGCCACAAGAAAACGTATTATCTTTCAGTTATTTTGCGTAATATTATTGTATTTTAGTTTTGTTCCCTGTATTGAATTGTGTTATTATCAGATGCTTATCAGAATTTTTACCTAGCAATAGTAGTTCTTGTTTAAAAAAATCTTAAACTTAAATTTTACGTTAGTCATCGAAGATACAAACGAAAGTTCCGAAGGACATTCATAAGAAGGTGCATAACCTGCATTAGGGAAGGCGGCAGACAATTTGAACATGTATGAACTGTAATTTTTAAATAAAATATAATACGTTCTCTTGTGATCGTAATGACCAATAAAGTAACCTATGGCGGAAATTTCGAAAAAAAACGAAATAACTGAAAAACGAAGAGACTGTACTAAGACAAAAGTCGATTTTCTGAACGACCTTAGGGTCCCCCATCCATGGTTAAAAGGTTATTCATTATTTACCGTACACCCGATATATATTTTAGCTGCAAATTTAACAAAAGTTTGCTTAAATTGAAATAAATTTTTCTCTGAATCTATCTATATCTTTTTTTATAGTAAATGAAGTGAAGATTCATAAAACATTTGTTTTCTCAAAATATATACCAATAATAAATGAGGCAAGAGAAACAAAAGATGTATTATTATAAACTTAATACTTAATAAATAAACTCATATTAATATTCGGTTTCTTGAAAAACTCCCACATATCAAATTTCATTGAAATATGTTTAAAAATTATGGAGTTACATTAAAAATAAAAAAATAAAAAATTTAGTCCATTATTTTTTAAGTAAGCAAAATTGTACAAGTTAATATGATCTCAATCAGTAGATACCCTTGGAACTTTTTAACTTATTTTATACTTAATTTTCGAAATAAAAAAGAATTATATGAACCTAGACACTATTTCTATTTCAAAAATTTAGGTTTGTGTTAACTTTTAGAACTCTCAAGTTGTTTAATAAATTTTAATAAATGAGTGTCTGTTTACATATTTTAAATCTATTTTCGGAAAGCTTAGTGCCTAAACTGCCTACGGTTAAAAATGCCAAATGTTCGTTAAATTTTTGAAATGAATTTAAATTCAACAACTTTTGAGATAGTGGTAACATTTTTGTCTTAGAAATGTGAATAGAATGAAAAACAGTAAAGGACATGCATTCTCTTCAGATAAAGTTTCTGTCGACTTTCGCTATAACCGGAAGTTTGAGAGGTTTGGTAAATAGTATTTTGTATATGTGGCTCCATTGATATTAATCACCAATCAAGTTTTCCGAGTAATTTTTATATCCGTTTAGTTTATGATTATTTGGTTACTTACATCTGGAGTGAAAACATTAATATAGAGGCAGTCCTCAGATCCTTTTGCTTCATATTCTTGAATGCACTTATGCTCATCCCCTTGAGTAGGCAACACTCCCTCCCAGTTTCGAGCAGGCACAGGATTCTAGACATTTAAATATTATTTTTTATTTAAAAATCACAAAATATAAACTCACTGTTAACTGAAACTAAATGCAATGGAAACAATTTGAAACTTTTGCGTAGCCTACTCATTTAAGTAGTAGTTGAAATGGTATATATAAATATATGTAAGTATTTCGAAATATTTTACTTACATTTACAAATTTACAGATATTAAAAATATACCTAATTAGTTTAATAAGTAGATAATAATGAAAAATAATTTGTTAATATTTTAAGCAAAGCTTTTAAAAGAAAGGTGGCTATAGTAGTAAATTCTACAAATTCTTACTCTAAATCTGAGATCGTTAATAGGAGGTTCAGCATATGGGATTCCTTGAAAAGAGTAATACGTTTTAGTTGTGCCTTCTACATGTCTCAGTCTTCCTTGCACTATACCAGAATTAATTTTAACTCTCAAATTTTCATCATCATTCTGCAATTAATTATTGTAAAATGGAAAATGTGATTAGATACTAACAATTGTATAACTAGACTTACGTCGTTTTGTGCTACTGCGAGGTTCACCAGACACAACAACAATACGGATAATATTTTTAACCAACGCATTTTGAAAGGTAAAAGAAAGTAATCCAGCGTTTATTTATTGAAAACATACTTATATCTTATCAGTCATGTAATTAATTTCGTAAAACGTAAATTTTTGAAGTACTTAATAAATAGTTAACAGAATGATTAACTAATGGGTTTGGAAACTTTTCTGTTTCATGTTAATTTAGTTTATTATGTTCTATTTTTTATTACTACCGTATCGTCTTCTCTAATGGTCATTCTCTCATTAGCTCTCGCTAATGTAGCCTCGACTCCAAGAAATTGGGTTATTGCCGTAATTCTCCAACAACACACCAAAATGATCGTGGACTAGGCGCTGATTGAAGTCTCTCGCTAGTCGACCTCCTTCCATTACAGCTCTTTCTATCTCAATTTCGGAGCTTGGAATCTGGACTAGATGTTCTGAAGAATATGACACGCTCTTTTTGTTACCTGTAACTTGTAGTAGACCCTCTAGTTGGTCTTCGCACTAAGGTTTCCAACTAAGCCTTTTTCACTGTTTCATTTTTAACAATTTTGTGTTTTGGTGATTTGTTTTTGGGTTTGGCTGTAGATCTTTGGCTTTGTTTGGAACTAAAAATCGAGTATCGACCACAGGTGCATAGTTAATATTGGGCGATTTGGACGATGATCTAGTCTTAGTCTGAACTCGCAAAGATTTTATTATTGTTTATAAAAAGTTTATTTTTTGATTTACAATGAGGGGCTTTAGAATATGGATGGAGTGGACACGTATACAATATAATGCGAGTGAATGTGCTAGTACAGTGCCAGGAAAGTTGCACTGGTTACTTATCCGGAGAAAAGCAGAGTCGACATTCGAATCCGTTTGGGGATGGCTCCACCGAGTTCTAAAGTGAAGTTTCGGTACGGTTTCTGACGTTTGGTCTCTTTGAATTTGGCAGTCTTTGAGGTTGTCTCGACTTGTCGTGGTATCTGACTTAGATATATGAACAGCAGCTGTCTGAGTTCTTGTGGCCACAGGTCCATGTTTCGAGCGATTTCTTTGATTCGAAACATAGTAGATTTTCAAATTAATGTATAACTTTATTGTTAATATTTCTCCAAAGTAATTAGCAATAGGTAAAAGGTTAGAAAAGTTAAATTGTTAAATGTTTGTAACATTATTTCATGATATTAACGACGCAGGTGTACTTTATATTATTATAATTTCAATAAAATATGTTTATTTTTAATTTAATTAAGTAGACTATACTCGACGGCCGAAAATATAGATACTGATTCATACATAATATAGAAACACTATTACCGTAAAGTGTATAAAACTTAAAATGATTTTTATAACGGTTCAATATTATTTGCTTATGTTAAATGATGTGCCGCTCTCTTTGCACATCGATAGGATCTATAACAGTCATAGACTGAGTTACACTGAACGCGATTTATTTCCTATCTCTGTCTATCGCACTTATTACAGATAGGGAAATGCTCTTTTTAGTGGGTGTAAACGGACGTACGTAGAATTCGAGTTAGCCGTAGTTAGAAACGTCAAACTATAAGCGCGCGCGAGGGTTTGCATATTCCGTGACTATAGTAAATTTATAAATTAAAAAAATACAATCGGGACGTTTTAAAACGTAGGAATAATAATTAAAATGGATCAAAGTGCCGGTTGTAGCAAACGGTCTGTTGCTCATAAACGCCCTAACCTATGCGATGCGGAATTAATAATGGTAAAAAACGTGTATAAAGGAATTCGGTCGCGAAATTCTAATACAAGTGTAAGTGAAGCTGTTGATATGTGTAGTTCGTTGACAAAAGTATCCGTTGCTACTGTTTATCGTGCCATAAAAAATAGTGTAGAAGTGAATCCAAAGAAGAAAAAAGTGGAAACACGAGGGAGGAAGAAAATAGAAGTCGACGTTGACGTGAAATACTCCATACGTAGGAAAATTCATGGATTTTTCTTTAGAAATGAAATACCAACGATAAAGAAAATTCAAGCTGCAATAGCTGAAGATGAGGATATTCCTAATTTCTCTGATAAGGTTCTTAGAAGAATAATGCGTGACATGAATTTTCGATATTTGAAACGGAATCGGAATAGTATGCTCGTTGAAAAAGACGAAATTGTGGTATGGCGAAGAGAATACTTAGAAAAAATAAGAGAACTTCGTGCATCTGGTAAGAAGATATATTACATGGATGAAACATGGGTAAACGAAGGTCATACTGTATCAAAAGTTTGGCAGGATGGTAATGTTAAGAGTAAGAGACAAGCATTTTTAGATGGATTTTCTACTGGATTAAAGGCACCTTCTGGAAAAGGACGAAGATTGATTATAACACATATTGGAAGCGATACGGGATTTTTAGAAAATGGTTTGCATGTATTTGAGTCACGAAAAACGGGAGATTATCATGAAGATATGAACAGCGACGTGTTTGAAAAATGGTTTGAATATGTTTTATCATATCTGGAGCCAGGAGCAGTTGTTGTGATGGATAACGCACCTTATCATAGTAGAAGAGTTGAAATGTTACCGACATCAGCATGGAGAAAAGGAAATATTATGGACTGGTTACAATCGAAAAATATTGAATATACAGAAACCATGCTAAAAGTACAATTATTAAAAATTGTCCAAAGAGAAAAAGGTCAATACATTAAGTATGTAGTGGATGAGATGGCCAAAGATCGAGGAATTCGTGTACTCCGTTTACCGCCATACCACTGTGAATTAAACCCAATTGAGTTGGTTTGGGCACAAATAAAGAATGAAATCGCACGAAAAAACACCACCTTTAAAATAAACGACGTGAAATTATTATTACAGGATGCTATTAATCACGTCACTGCTGAAACATGGTGTAAGTGTATTGGACATGCACAGAAAGAGGAACAACGTATGTGGGATCTTGATACAACGGTAGAAGTGTTCATAGAACCAGTCATTATTCATTTGGGTGAAGATGATTCTAGTGATAGTGATAGCAACAGTGATATGTGAAATATATAATGTGAATAATGTGATATGTAAGTATTTAAATATATTAATAGTGAAGTGATTATGTGGCAGTGAAGTGAAAGTGTGACAGTGATAATATTCGTGAGATAATTATTATAAAATATGTAAGTACCTACTTAAATAAATATATTAATAGTAAACATTACAATATTTTGCGGCGGCGTAAGCCGGGTGGTGGTGGGTTATCGATGCCCAAGAGGGCATCGTTTTATAGAAAACACTTAAAATTTAAAAACAAAATGTCCCGATAAAACCTCTAAAAATAATAGATGTTATGTTTTATTATATTTTCTTATATATCTTGTTGCCTTTTACGTATACACGCCTATGGATTTTCGATCCCCGCACGCCTCATCCTCCTTACTAGTCCAAAAGCTAGCGATGAATCACTATCTATAATTTCGGCCGTCGAGTTATAATTATATTAACTATAAAATTCTCTTTAATATATCGTTTCATACCAATTGATATGATAAGAATTTAGGAAAATATTTGAAATGAATTTGAATTATCTATCTTCAAAATTAAGTCAAAGCAATCTTATTTCTAATTATATATTTTTCTTTCTTTCGTTGGAGAAATAGTAACATAATTATTATTTATAAAATATGGGTCCCTTTAAAATAATTTATTAAAATTTATTAAATTAATGCAACTGAAGAAATAACACTGTTTTGAATTAGGTCAAAATAACGGTTTATGTTGTTAAAACAAACAAGCACAATTGTTGATCCTGCGAACATCAAATTCGAGTTTCAAAACAAAATTTAAACGTTTGTTATTGATGTGATCCAATTCATTGTGTATATTTTCCCCCACGTAACACAGAAGTCCAACAGTTTGAGAGCCGCTAGCCCACCGAATAGTTGGTAGTGTAAATTCGCTTGGTTTATATCGCCGATAATTAGTATATAATGAGACTGGCCGAGTAAATTTCCCAGAACGGTTAATAATTGTCGAGGTTTGGACCTCGTTCCGGAGGTGGTAACGACTTTCGGCGGTTAAATTTTGTATACGTATATACATATAACGCAACTTGACACACTTATTTTTTCGATTCCGATTGATTCTATGTATACAGGCTGGTACAAATTCGCTTCTCACTACAGGGATCTCGGAAACGGTAAGAGGTACGAAGTAGCCTAAATGAGGGCAAAGTTGCGTAATCAGGGGACTAACATTATGCCTCTAAAAAATCAAGGCTAACATGATTAGTTTTCGAAATATTTGAAAAAAACCGAAATTTTGGAAATCCGTTTTTGTTTCATTTCAACCTTATTTGAGGTGATATTGAAAAAAGAAGATTCGTCTCTCCAGGACCATCATCAACTTCATTTTTATTAATACGACCCTGGAAATTTTATTACATTTTTTGCAAGTTGTCATGGCCCCCAATACTGTACTGCCTCAGTCCTAACCAGATTCAAACGTTTTGTCTCGAAAAATTCATCTTCAGTGTATTCGTTCCTTTATCTAAATTTTTTATTTAGATTTCTTTGTTTATTGAATTATCGTAGTGTCGTTAGACCCTGTGAAATACATCTAGTTATTTAAACTATATAGTACCAATTTTTTTCTTTTTTTTGTTAATGACCTGTCTCATAACTTGAAATCATGTAGATATTAAATCTTTGCTGATGATTTGAAGTTATTATTATTTGTGAAGGATTCTAAGGAATTAAATCTTTGCTGATGATTTGAAGTTATTTTTATTTGTTAAGGATTCTAAGGATAGTAATGCAACAAGAGCGATTTGAATCAATTAGCCAAATGATGCCAATCCCACGATATTGGTTAAACCATAATACATGTAAAGTAATTACTTTTACCCGTAGGAAGAACATTTTGTTGTGATTATTTTATTGAAAATATTAGACTTGAAAGAACAGTGAAGGATTTGGGAGTAAAATTTGATTATGAATTGAAATTCACTTTTCCTATTGAAGATTTATTGAGTAAAGTTTTAGAATGAGTGGTTTCAGTAAACTACAAACTCGGGACATTACA